AAGAGTGATTACATATCTTTCCAGTTTGCCCAAGACTCAAAAGGGAAACCACATCTCTAACGAGCGTCTTTAGAAAACTTAATTTTCTACAGTAATTATAAGGGCAAAGAATTTGTAGTAAGCAAAAAGTGGAATATGACTAAAAACTGACCTTCAATTCAAACAAAATAATCTCAGCTACAGCTTTTTAAAATATATTCTACTTTCACTTTCTTACCAACTGGGTGGGAGTGAGCCACTTGAAAATTAAAGCAAGCCTTCCTATTTGAGCTGGGTAAAAAAATAAATAAATATCAACATTTTAGCATCCTCCAACTTACAACTGGCCCACAGGAGTGTATTCTAATTAGCCACTGGGGAGACACAGGACTGAACACAGGTTGCCAAATCTAACTACACTCTCCATATTACAGTGCAGAAACTGAGCACACTATATATATGATAAGCTCATCCAGGACATACGTTGTTCAGCTATCCCATTAAGGAAGTGAGTAACCAAATGCTTTTAAAAACAATTTATTAACATATTAGTTATGGCTTAAAGTCGTATTTTTTTTTTTAAAGAAAAATCTCTTTAATGATAGCATGCCTTTATCTCTGGCTAAAATGCTCAAAGAGGAGCCAGCCTAGAAGAGATTTTACATTCCATATAAGCTGTCATCCTTGCGTGCTTTAGGCTCTGGCTTCAGGTTACATTCTGAACAATGTAAAAAGGGGCAGAAGACTCCAAGTCTAGCCACTTAAAAATCATGGTTTATTTGTCTTTTTGTTTTGTTTTGTTTTGTTTTTAATCAAGGTAATGTAGCTCCTAACACTGCCACTCTTACTACACATTAAAATAAAAAAAAACTTCAAAAGAGAATAAAGAGGCAGCACAGGTCACCATGCCGGTGGGCTGCCTGGAGTCTTACTGGGAGCTGCCCTGGCCCAGCTGTGTGTTAATGCCTGCATTCAGGTGGCTGATGCCAAGGGTTAAGTAAGTAATACGTGTACAGCAGTAAGAGCAGACTGAAAATTCCCTCCAACACAAACAATCGAGTAGAAGCTGGAAAAGGATATTTCTCTTGAAATTTACCCTTTTTATAACACGCAGATTTCATACTTAACTACCTATTTTATGTGTGAACAAGGACCTTTTTTTTATGTCAACAACTTCCTTTAGTTCAAAAAAAAAAAAAAAGAAAGAAAGAAAGAAAAAGAAAGAAACCAAGTAATTCGCTTGCAAAGAAACAAAAACGGAAGTTGACACCGAGAAGTTCAGAAGCAAAAAGGTGGGAAGGAACCCGGAGCTCTGCGCTCGGTCGTTACTTCGTTACAGGCCTCCAGCTGCCCGGCCCTCGGGCGAGCCCCCGCGCCGGCCGGGCTACCGGTGAGAGGTGCAGCGAGGCCCCGCGGGGGAGACCGGGGCACGCGGCCGCGGTGCCCGGGGCAGGGTCGGCCAACCCGGGACGCGGGACCGACCGAGCGTCGCCCGGACTGCGGTCCCCAAAAAGGCCGCAACTTTTCCGAGTTGCCCGGGCTGCGGGGCTCGAGCGTCCCGGGCGCCCCCGCTATCCCCGGGCAGGGCAGGGCAGGGCAGGGCAGCTCCGCTCCGCGCGGCCCGCGGCGGCCGCACTTGTTGCTCCCGGGCCCGCTCGGCCGCCGTTGGGCAGCGCGGTCCGCTCACCTTCGGGGACTGCGCTCCGGGGGAGGCCGGGTCGCTGTCGCACCGCCGCGGGGACAGCGCCGCCCCGGGCCCGGCCGCCGCCATCAGACCCAGCGCCCCGCGCCTCCGCCGCCGCCGCCGCCGCCGCCTGGTCCCGGCCGCCGCCGCCGCCGCCGCCGCCGCCGTCGCGCGGGCCGCCCGGCGCCCCGGCCCCGCCCCCTCCGCCCGCCCGCCCGGGGGCCGGCCCCTGCCGCCGCGCGCCCCGCGGCCCGCCAGCGCCACCGCCACCGCCACCGCCATGGCCGCCAGCGCGCCGCGCGCCCGCACGCCCGCACGCCGGGCCCCGCACGCCCGCTCACGTCAGCCGGCCGCAGCTGCGCCGCCCCGCCGGCCTCTGCCCGGGCCCCCGGCTTGCAGCGCCCGCCGCGCTCGGCCCCGGCCCCGGCCCCGGCTCCGCCCGGCTTCCCGGCCGCCCCTTCCCTGCGCCCCCAGCCCGGCCCGGCCCGGCCCGGCCCGGCCCTCCGCGTCGTCAGCCGCGGCTCCGCTCCGCGCCGCGCCGCCCCGCCCCGCCCCGCCGCGGACCCGCCCCCTCCCCTCCTCCGCCGCGCGTCAGCCGGGGGTCCCCAGCCCGCCCCCCACCTGGGCTCCCCGGCTCCTCCCCTCCCTCCGAGAGGAGCCCCGCCATGTGCCGTGCTCCCATCGCCCCGTGCACACGCACACGCACATGCACACGCACATGCACACATGCACACACATGCACACATGCACACACACATGCACACGCACGCACGCACCCGGGTCCCCGGCCCCGACCCTCAGCCGGGGGGCGCAGCGCCCAACCCCACTCCACCCCGGTCCACGCCCCCCCAGGAAGGAAGGATGGGTCTCCCCACCCCACTTTTCTCCTGCAGTGCGCTCTCCTCCCTCTCCACCCCATCTCTCCATCTTCACTCTGCACATCCCCCGGGGTCCCCAAGGCTCCTTTGTCTCACATCTATCTGCCTCTGCTGAGACCTTGGGATGGACTGTGGTGCGAGCAAAGTCAGAGCGCTCTCTAGCTGAGCAGGACCCAGTCAGTCAGTCCAGGAGAATATGGGGGTGGGGGGTCCCCAAGCCCATATGATGAGACTGGCAGAGCTCTGAAGGATGCAGGATTGGGAGGGCCTGGAGATGGGAGCTGTGGCGTTTGTTTGGATAGCATTTCTAATTTAGCTCATGGACTGAGCCATGAGACTTGGCCTGTTTCTAGAGAATTGACTATACCGGTCATAAGGCCATGAAATACAATTTCACCGATGAAGATGAAAGAGCTATAAGCAATAAAAAGGACCAAAAGATTGGATAATAGTAGAAAGGGGCTGCGTGAGAATAACTTTCTTAAAATAGAATCTAAAGGATGGAGAGATAGTGAAGTGTTTGCTTTTGTGAACACAAGGACCTGTGTCCAATCTCCAGGAGAGCATTAAAAATAAATAAATAAGGCGTGATATTGCACACTTGTAACCAGTACTGGTGAGGTGGGAAACGATCCAGCTGGGCTAACAGAGATCCTGCTTTGTTTTAAAGCTTATTTTTACTATTTTTAATTGTGTGTGAGGGGAAGGTGTGTACGCACGTTAGTGTAGGTGCCTACAGAGGTCAGGGATGTTATGGGCCACCCAACTTGAATGATAAACACCTAACGAGTCCATCTATGAGGGCAGTATGTGCTCTTAATTACTGAGCCATCGCTTCAGCCCTTTGCTTTTTGTACTAAAATGTGATTCACGCTAATACAACACACATTCTTTTTTCACTGCAGAAGTAGGAAACAACTCGCTGTCTGTCTAGAACCGGGGACCAGAATCCCCACTGGGCACTGACCAGTTACTGACAGGCTTTCGAATAACCAATATGCTTACTATGTACAGATCTATTGTTGTTCTCCTTCAAAATTCATATGCGGAAGCCTTAAACCCCAGTGTAATGGGTTCCGCTTAGAAGTGAGGCCTTTGGGAGGACTCACTCAGATGAGGTCATGAGGATGGGGCCTCCACAATGGAGACTGGTACCTTAGTGAAAGTCCGAAGTACAAAAGATGTACCCCTTCCTACTCCTTTTCTCCCTTCCTCCCTTCCCCTTTCTCGCAACATAAAAGTCTCCAGACGCAGGCAGGCAGGCAGTCCAGGAGAAGTTCAGATTTCTCATGTAGCATTCAAGGTATTTGGTCTTTACGTTTCCTTAAGGACAACAGTTGCTACAGAAGTTACAGTGGTCTGGTAGCTCTGTGGGAAGGGCACCAAGTCAGCCTTGCAGTAAAACGTCTACTCTCCGAAACACTCCCGGTGTCTTGTGTGCGTTTCACCCATCACCACCTCCCATCACTAAGCTTCCAGTGTCTTCTCTGGAAGCTACACTGAAGTCAGCACCAAAACCTTTGTCTTTCTCACTGGCGTCCACTCTGTGTTTTCACTTGACACCGGACTGACTGACTGATGACTGACTGACAACTGACTGACGACTGACTGACAACTGATGACTGACTGACTGATGAGTGACTGATGACTGACTGACTGATGACTGACGACTGACTGACGACTGACTGACTGACTGACTGACTGACTGACTGACTGACTGCTTGCTTCCCAGGTTTCTGTGCTGAGGCATAACCTCAGCATTCCTGGCAAACACGCTACTGCTGACCACACCATCAGCTGCCCCCCCAAGCCTACCCATTCCTTGGCAGAACAGTCCCAGTGTGGACGCCATATCTACGTTCCCCATTCTCTTATATGTCACACAAGATAGATTCCAGTCCAGTCATGGGAATGTGACTAAATTGCACCAAGTTAAACCAGAAAGCCTGGATTCTTATCAAACTCCTGGGAAATGCACTCTTATTTCTTTAAATACTTATTTTGGGTTTTTCAGTTCTTACACCCAAATGAGCCTAACAGACTACTCAATGGAAAATCCACTCATTTGTATTTTGATTGGAGAAGGGGTAATTTAGATAAGAAATCATTAATACTTAAACATCTTTCCTTTAAGCCCAGGGATTCCTTTCAAAAGAACAAAGTATTAAAACACCACCCAAAATGTATCTCCCACTTACATTATTTGAGAATTCAGCTTAATTTCCTATGACAAGTCCTAGTTTTATTTCACTTTCTGAGATAGCTCTCATGTAGCCCTTGGCTGTCCTGGAACTCAACGGAGATCCGCCTCCCTGTGCCACCATGCCCGGCTATCCTAATTTTCTTAGATCTAAAAAGAGTAAGCATCCCTCTGTATTGGAATCGATTAAAATCCATACCTACCTCCCCTACTATTGGGGGGCAACACTGTCTATTGTTAAGATAACACGAGGCTCACAGATCTGTGCATGTCATTTATTTTGGGAAAGGATGTGTGTGAAACTGCTTTAGTCCTGCTATTCACAATAAAGAGCAAATACCAAAACCAATGCCACGTAAGACTCCGTTTCGTGTTTAGCTTGCACCCAGCTATCCCATGTCACGTCCCAGATCCATCTGCTGGCAATCTGTGAGAGAAAATTTAAAAGACTCAAACGGGATGTGTTAACTAACTTTTCAATACCATAGTTTGTATTTGGGGAAATAGTTTGTTAGGCTGAGTTGGGTAACTCAAAATGGTAACAAACCTTCCTGGAGTCCTAAAAGCCATCAGTTCCAACCTAGCACTATGAAGAAAATCCAGGGGCTGGAGCGATAGCTCAACAGATGGGAACCTTCATTATGCTTCCAGAAGAGACAAGTTCAATTCCCAGCACCAACATCAGATGGCTTACAACCACCTGGCACTCTACCTCCAGGGCCATCTGTCACCTCTGGCTTCCTCACTGACTTTTACTCCTGAGCTTACACCCCCACCCCCCAAACACACACTACATGATTAAAAAGTATGTTTTTAAGGCTATGTCCAATTTTCCCTTTCATGGAGAGACTCAGGAGTGATGCTCCTTGCTGGCTAATTAATATTTATTTTGATGTTTTGAGACAAGGTTTCACTGTGTAGCCCTGACTGTATTAGAACTCACACTGTAGACCAGGCTGGATTTGAACTCACAGAGCTCCACCTGCCTGTGCCTCCCGAGTGCTAGGATTAAAAGTGTAAACCACTACACCTGGCTTACTGGTTAACTAATTTAAATGATATTTAAATTATCAAAGTTGCTATGGCCAAGAAGCAAGCTACATAATGTAATCTAGTAAATTACTGATAGTAAAATTGTATTTCTAGGCTAGTACTTTTCAAATAATTTGCAATGAAAAAAAAAAAAATGTTTTTGGTTTTTCATAACAAAATGATCTTTGGATTCAAGAGGCCCTTCAAGATCTCTGCACCATAAGGACACCTCAAATCTCAAATGGATGGATGTTAGGTCACTGGGGCACTTACATTTATTGCTTGACCCGTCTTTTGAATAAATAATACTTTTATAATGAATTTGTAACGGTGGTACCCAAACTCTTTGACTGCTGCCAATATTCGATCTGCCAAGTCAAGTGACAAATGGGACAGGACTTTATCATCATATTTGACATCTTTAAGACTGTCCTTTAAAAAAAATATAAGAAAAAAGTTTCAATTCTTAAACAAAATGTTTTTATATAAAGAGAAAACGTGTATCTAAATAAATCTATAACTGTTTTAAAATGAATATATTCCTGAAAATTACCACATATTATACTTACCAATTTATTCTCAATGCAGTTTTAGAAAACTTACTCTCAAAATTATGCCCAATTGTCAAAAGCCAGGTTTAGTGGCATATGCCTTTAACTCCAGCACTCACTCACTTGGCCAAGGTAAATGGCTCCCTATAGTTCTAGGCCAGCCTGGCCTATACAGTAAGTTCCAAGCCAACCAAAGCTACAATAGCGAGACTCTGTCTCAAAAAAATTAGTTTCCGTTGCCCTTCTGCTTATGAGGCTACTCTGTGAACTTGCTGTAAATAACTCGGTTTCCATTTCTCACTAGGGAGACAAAAGAATTTCAAAAGGTTTCTGGAAAATCATAGCAAAGGAAGGAAACCTGTGTGTTTATGATTGCATGTTCCAAATGCAGGCATTACCTGGGCAAAGTTGGCTTTGTGTCACTATCTTCTCTGGGTATCTTACCCCTTATGGCATCCACAACTTAGCATATTTACTAATAAACTAACACATCTGAGAAAATACACGGGGCTCACAGACCATGAAGCAGGAGCTTTTCTTAAAAAAAAAAAAATCGGATTTATTTTAAATGTTCAAGTGTTTTGCCTGCATACATGTCTGTGCACCACCTGGTGCCTGGTGCCAAAGGAAGCCAGATGAGGGAGTTGGCTCTCCTGGCATTGGAGTTTTAAGTGGTTGTGAGAGGACACGTGGGTCCTCTAGAAAAGCCGCCAGTGCTCTTAAATGCTGAGCCATCCCTTCCTTCCAGGAGCCTTTCCCACAGACTGTGAGCAAAGCTGGGCCAATGAAGGAGCTGGTCACAAACGGAGCCTTCGATTGACTATCTTTCTGGGAGTGCACCCAGAAGTGTGCACTAAGTTCTATGATAACAAATGAACTACAGCAATCAACTTCATAGGAAGAGTCATGTAAGTGTCCTTCCTCCATCCTCCTGCACCCTGCTATTCTACCCTCCTTCCTCTCTTCTTCCTCCCAACTTCTCCTATTGGCTGCCTGATAGGTTCCTTCCGCATCTAAGCTGGTCTGAGGCCTGCGTTTGGTCTTGCATCTATCATCCCAATACTCAGTATCATCTGCTTTCTTCAAGGTCAGTCTTCTCTCAGGGTAAACCCAACCCATTCCTTGTCTAAGAGTCCATATTCTGACTGCAACTCTGAGATCAGGACACAGGGGTGGCTTCTGTAAGTGAGGTTCATTTATTCAGTTTTGTTTAATTTTATTTATGTGGTAGGGTCAAGTGAGAGACCAAAATATATACACTCATATCACACGTACTATTAGAGTTGATCAGAATTCTTTCCCCAAACCATAAGCTATAATATCTTTGCCAAATATCAATTATTTTGAAACACATCGTTAGCAGTGGAGGGATGGAAAGTAGTAGAGAGGTTCAGAATTTGCCCCCTTAAAAATGCTGCTTTCTTATATAATTCCTACTCAAGGGTGCTAGAATACACACACACACACACACACACACACACACACACACACACACACACACACACACCTTCCTCAATAAATATGATCACATGGCTTGTTTGGCCTAGGATGGTCTCAATAGTCTCATATGTGCTAGACAAGTATC